CCATACACCTGAAGTTCCCCCATACATTTACTCCTACCCACATTCTGTTCTTTATCTTTTTAAAGCATTGGTTATCAGACTGCTGCAATGTGGTGCTGTGATAAAAGATTAAAAAATGAGTGTGTGTGTGTGTGTGTGTGTGTGTGTATGAAAATATTTGTTAAAGGTGAAGTATTAATTTGAAATAACAGCTTAATCCACTAGATGTCAGCCTACTCAAGCAACAAAGCTGACTTTGCCAAGTGTGTCATGCATTTGAATGGAGGCTGTTCCTATGGTTCTCAGCTACAGTGATGAATAATTTAACAACAAAAAGCATCCTTGTCTTTCTGTGTTCCTATGAAAAGGGAGAGGGTGTGAGCACTAGAAGTTTTATTAAACACAGTTAACTGAAACCTCAAACATAACATCTGAAATCTAATTATTAATGGGATTAGGATTAGCATGATGCTTTTAAAATTCAAGTTATATGTGGTCTCTTTATAATAATTACTACTCACAAGGAAACATCCTTTCATCTCAACACAACTTTATGGAACATCACTGCTGTTTACGGAATCAGTCTAATTCAGTGCTCTGTTTTGACATTTCCAATATTTGTTCTTCCCCTAACCTTTTCCCAGGGATGCTGTTTGATTGGCAGCTGCACAAAGGAGGAAAAAACATACTACAGATCACAAAGTGCAGCTTCAGTGAAGCACTAAGCTTCTCATCACAGACAAGAGTGGATCACTGGGAATAACTTAGGCTGCTTGTGCCCAAGTCTGCAACATCCCATGCCTACAGAGCTCTTAGTCCTTAACATAGATTAACACATGATCCTGGGTTTGGAAGAGAGAACTAAGACTAGAAACAGGAAGCCTTGGAATTAGTCATTCTGAATCACATGGCAAGAAGCTTTAAGGACTTGAAGAAATGAACAACAAACCAAAAACCAAAAGCCGGGCTCCCGTAATGCAGCTTTGCTAGTTAAGCCTGATTTAAGCCCATGCCAAGTTGACTAGCTAAAATGCAGTGCATCATAATAGACTCTTTCAAAAACCTTACATCATGGTGTATTCAAACACAAAGTAAACATCTAAGAAGGAGCTTCCTTTCCAGTGTGTTTGACACCCCTGTAATGAGCTAGATTATTCTGACTTTCAGGCCAGCCTGGGCTATGCAATCTGCTTCACAACAGGTCAGTTTGGGCTACACAATCTGCCTCAGAAATTTCAAAATGGAAAGAAGGGAGGAAGAGGAGGGAGAAAGGGGAAAAGAGGAAGGGAGGGAGGAGAAAACAGTAGGCGATAAGGACATTGTGAGAAAGAATATAAGGAGTGGAAATTTAGTCAGCCCTTCAAAGGTCCACAGAAACTGGTGACAGCCAAGAATAATTTTATAGCCTAGGAGGTCAGAAACCACAAACTTTGGAGTTATCTTTCTTGCTTGAGAAGAATGCTTTTGATCAGGCAAAATGCTGTGTATTCTCTGGGAGCCATTAACATAACCAGGGTAGTATTAAAGAAACCCTGAAGATTAAGCATGAAAGAATGTCTTAATGACATTTTTAGAAATGTCACCCAGTTTTATTCTTTCTGGCATTTTGAATATATTCATGTAGCCCTATATAAATTGATGGCGTATAATAAAATTAAGTGGCAACTTTTAATGCCTTAGGATACATCAAATTATTTTTTTCTCACAAAGCTTGTGTATGCAATAGAGGCAGACATTATTTCCTTTAGGGGAAGGGCATTGGAAGTGAAGGAATATTCTTGAAGGTATACAGCAGCAGGAGATCATGATTTAGGAATGAGCATCCTTACTCCCTCCTGCTCCTCACTCATTGTAAGGGAAATCAAGTGCAATGCACCTCTACTGGGAGGTCAGAGCTTAACTCCTAGCATGGACTAAAGCATGTAGTTACTTCCTCCTCTGTCCCTCTGTAACCAGTTTGCCCTTCAATTTGATATCACATGTCAGATCTTCTATTCCAATTTAAATAACAGAGAATGAGAAATAGCTGAGAAGATTTCTCATCACACAAATCTTAAAAAATAATCTTGTATTTCAACTATGTAGAAAATAACTAAGCTGTAAGAAACTGTAGCAAATTAGTTCTGTGTGTGTTGTGTGTATATGTGTGCTGTGTGTATTTGTGTACTGTATGTGATTGCTTGTTCCTGTGTATGTGTTTGGGCATATACCACATAAACAAGTGAGGAGGTCAGAGGACAACCTTGATATCTACCTCTTGTTTGTTCCTGTCATTATATCATAGGCAAGCTGATACTACCACATCTGGATTTTTATGTATTCTGGTTTGATGGGAGATGTCATTCTGTATATGTTTCTCATACTGGCTAATGAATAAAGCACTGTTGGCCAATAGGAAAGGAAGATAGGAGGGACTAGGAGACGGAGGAAATAGGAAGTAGAAGGAGGAGCCAAGATGGAGAGTCGGGAGAAAGCAGTATGCCGGCTGGCTCCCCGGTAAGAGAAATACATAGATCAGCAGAAATGGGTTAATAATTAAGGCAGAGCTAGCCGATAAGAAACAAGTAACCGGGCCAACAGAATTATATCTAATACAGAGTCTCAGTATGTTATTTGGGGCTGACGCGGCAGCAGGACAAGACCAGGTGGCGGGCGGAAAAATCGTATTCCTTACACTGGTTTCCATGCTTGGGCAAGTGCTTTATCCACTGAGCTATCTTCCCAGCTAAGGAGATGCTTCATTCCATAAAGTGCCTGTTCTGCAAGCATGAGGGCACACTTGTGTTCAGATCCTTAGAACCTATGTAAAAATTTCTAAGTGATAGTACACACCTGTAAACCTAGACTTGTGGGGCAGAGACAAGGGATCCTAGGAATTTGTTCACCATGGAGACTTGCCAAATGAGTGAGCTCCAGGTTCACCGAGAAACCCTGTCTCAAAACATAAGGAGGAGAGCAACTGAGGAGAGACCTGAAATCAACATCTGGCCTTCACACTTAGATACACATACATGTGCATGTAACCACCACACACATATACCACGCATGTACCACACATGTATACATCCCAACACACACGCATGCACACACACACACACACACACACACACACACACACACACACACCAAAACAGTGACATAATACAGGCATGACTAAATGGCTTTCTAAAGAAAAAGCACTCTTTAATTTTAGAAGCTTGAAATTTTGAAGAGACTTCAGACATGATTAAGTGACCCACAGAAAATGCTCTTAAATTTCTAGGATTAATATGCAGAGGATTGCAGAAATGGGAGGTGCTCCAAGATCTACTAATTTTCCTGTAATTTCTTTAAAGGTTAAATCATTGAGCCAGTGGCAAAGGGATGAAGGGAAGTAACCACCAGTACTGCATTATGTAGTGGCATTTCTGATGCTCATCAAACACATTCCAGGACAGACACAATTAAGATGCAGGACTTTGTGTTTTTTATTTCCACACTAGATAACAATGAAAGGCACAGATGAGTTCCCTTATCAAACAGAAATGCACAAATATGTTGGTAAATTGCATTTGTATTTACACTTATTATAAAATATGAAAAGAGCTGTATGAAGCATGCAAGTATTGCTCTGCAATACCAGTGTTCAGTGTTCAGCTCCTTTAGCTTTCATGGATTGTAAAGTCTTTCAGGAGAGAAGATGCTCCTTACAAGCTATCCTGTGCCATTGACAGTATTAAAGGTTGATGCAATTTGAACAACACACTTGAACCTCTATTAGGCACTGTCTGGTTGTCTTTATATTGATTTAAAAAAAATTCTTCACAGGTAATATTGATATCCAGGCTCAACTGCCTTTGCTGCTGTAGCTCTTGGGCCTGCTCTTTTCTTGCCCCTCTGAATCTTAATCAATGGGTAAGGCAGTTGGGCTGTCTCTCTGGCCTCCTTGGGTATCTTGTTACTTCTTTTTGAAGGTCCAAAGACAGGGCAGACTAGAGTAGCAGCATTGCCACCCCCACTGCAACTTCCTTTCTTAGATTTCTTGGGATAAAGTATCAAGGTAGTTGAGGGCCCTCACCATCTTCATCAATCCCAACCTGGCCTTGACATTTTCTTCCTTCCTTCCTTCTTTCCTTCTTTCCTTCCTTCCTTCCTTCCTTCCTTTCTTTCTTTCTTTTAATTTAAATTGGAAACATGCTTGTTTTACATGTCAAACCCAGTTCCTGCACCCTCATCCTCCCCTGTTGCCCCCACCATCCCTTCTTTTCCCCAGGGAGGGTGAGGCCTTCCATTGGGGAGTCTTCAAAGTCTTTCATATCATTTGGAGCTTGATGTTTTCTGCCTTCTGGTTCTTCCATTTTTCATTTTTCTCTCTTCAGCTTTGGGCTTAGATATTGGGCCCTGGGATAGGACAGCCAGTTTTTCCTGTACTAACTGAAGCTGCTCCTCAAGTTCTGCCAAGCAATGATCACCTCCCTTATTCCTCCATTTTTCCTCCTGTTCCTTCTCCTATTCCTCAGAGGAGGAGGAGCTCTCAGTCTACTGTTCTTACTCTAAAGATAATTTGACCAACTTACAGGGCAAAGCAACTGAGACTTGGTAAAAGTCCTGATTTCAGTAGCTCATCTGGCACCTCTGCATTGGGGAACTCAAACACAACCTGTAACTTTTATGTCTTGGCCACAACATTGTGGTTGGTTTGTGTGGAGGGGCAGATTGTATTTATAGCAATTGGAAAGCTGAAGTAGCACATTTTAAAAAATATACATTACAAGAGGGACTTTGCCTTAAACCATTGGCTCTACATGATTGCAAGAACTCACTTTGCACCAAAGATTCCTTTTTTGATTAAATTTCTCATTCAAACAATTGAAATCTCTGGAAAGCATTTATTTCTGATAAGGCACGGCACTGTTAATGGAGTGGTAAAATAATTATAATCTACTCCAGCTCTTCTTCATGAGCAATTTTAGAAATGTTTAACATCCTAGGAATGCACACCGATTTGTTCATAGGAGAATAAAAGCTTGGATGCTACTCACGCAGGCTTGATCGAATGAGCATGCTTCTCATGGACGAAGGCACCAGCCAGACCTCCAGCTCCTGAATTTAAATACTGGAAAGGAAGTGAAATTTTATGGGTTTACTTGAATACATGAGAAAAATATAAACACTGTTTTCATTTTTACTTGTTTTAAATAAGCCCATACTGTCTGTCCAGTTCAAAATGTGTGATTATTTGAGCATAGGCACTAAGTACCGGGTCTTACTGTTAAAAGAAAAAAACAAATGAAAAATATTACTAAGTTGAAAATATGTGGCTACATTATTTTTCATATTATTAGATCAGGCGTGCAGGGCAAAGTGAAGCTCTGGAGAGCCTTGCATGTATTGAGAGCTTAGCTAGCCTGATCTTCTCCTGGAGGCTGATAAATCCCAGCAACAGAGCAGATGCAGACAGATGCAACAGGCTGGCATCTGAAAATGATCTGTGATTCATTAACATGTTAACATACACCCTCTTGGGGGAGACATACGATTGGCAAATACATGTGTGTAATGCATGAAGTTGTATGTAGAATTGCATTTAACAGATAAAACATGCATGGAATGCTGGAAGAAAAAAAGGACCCCAAAGCTACAATCCCCATGGAGTAGGGCCTTTTGAAATGCTAAGCTCTTCTTGCTCTTGCACACTTCCTACCTAGAAAATCACCTTTAACACACAGCTCTGCTTCTGTGGCTCTTCATGTGTCTGTGTTCAATTCTTTCTTTCAGAAGAGGAGAGTGGAGAAACCTCCAGAGCTGTCCACAGGATGCCCAGTCTCACTAGTTATAGGTAGCAGGTAAACTAAAGTTTCAGGGACTTCAAAGCCTTCCTTTAAATGCTCTTTGTCAAATACTCACAGTCTAAGAATTTGACTTTTATAAGTAAAGACATTGTAACTTAGTTTTCATATCCTCAAAATCAAAAGGCCTTAATCAGTAAGAATTAAGCTCTAAGTGTAGAATCCTTTCTCTACACTAAATGTATTTTCATAGTATCCTAGAAATCTAATGAATAAATATTCTACAATTATAGGAATAATAGAACTAAATTATTTTTCATGTTATTCTATCATATGACTTTAGAAAACACAGGACTGACCGGAATAGAATGTAAGTCATGGACCAAGGATTTTGTTTATATTAAAATCAATGTGAAATAAAAGGATTCCAGACATTGACCTTGTAGGAACACCAGCAAGCGAAGTCAACACCCCAGTCATGTAAGTGGAGTTCCACGTTCCCAACTGCATGTGCTAGATCAAAGCCAACAAAACAGCCCTAGAGAAGAACATAACAATGTTTCAATTGGTTTAATGATTAGAAACAGTAAGGTATCTCAAGTCTTTTGCAACATTGTTAAACAGTAACAGTCCCCTCTCTGATGCCCCAGTTCAATAATTTGACTCCTTTCAACTCCCCAAACTCTTTTGGTAACCTTCTGGACTAAAGCCATCTTTATAAAGCTGCCATTACATTCTTCTTCACTATGTTGGCATTTTCACATTTTGCAAAAATCAGGACAGAGATGAGTCTTCAGATCCAGTAGGAGAACTGGGGGCAGCACTGCCAAACTGGGATGTCTGTATAGCACTCAATCCACAGTTCCTTTGTAGGGGAGAGAAGGAGTTTGCTTAAATTCTCCTCGTGAAAATTACAACAGGGTAAAAGCAGATCCTTGGCCCCAGAAGACTCAGAGAGTTCCCAGAACACCCAGACTTCAGAGCCAAGGGCTCCTGCACTGTCTTCTACCATGCAGCACCATGTAGAACCTACTAGAAACAGAAGGATCTGAGATCTTTACCTTTCAGGTCCCTGCATCTGTGCTAGCAATCATCCCACAAGCATTCTTTTTATCATGTAGCTTCCAGCATTTGCCCTCTACTTGTGCACATATGTGTCATGATTCTCTTGCTTTTGTTTGTTGGTTGATCAGCTGGTTTTAGACTTTTGTTTATCTTGCTCCATTCAGTTTATTCTAAGTCCTTTCACTCTAGTTAATCTAGTTTATTCTGTCATATCTCATACACTCTCCCATTCCTCATATGTCTTTTCTTTTTCTCATCCTTATCCCCCATTTTACTTATAATAATAACCTTACATCAATGCAACAATTTCTAAATTCTGTAGATCTTAATTACCCCCCAATTTTCCCTATTTTAATTTATTTTCTTCAAAGTCTATATAATATTTTAATCCTTTTCCTTATATACCTTAGTCCCCTATCTAATCATATCAACTAAAATTTGAGTATACATCATATTATCTTTGGTTGTTTATCTTCCCACAGTTTTGAAGCCTATACTAGTATAAAAATTACATAGCGATAATATCAAAAAGGTCTGGTCATTCTCCTACATAGGTAATGTCCTAGAGAAGAGATTTATACAGAGTTTATGCCAAGTACTTGGAGCTACTGATATGAAGAATTATTTTCTGAACTATATATATATTCTATATTTCCTCACCCGAGTCAGACATGAACAGTACAAATTCTTCAACTAAAAGAATATAGCTGATTTAAAAAAAAAAAACACTAAGTCAAGGGAAGAAGCAATACTAAATGCAAAATTTCCAATTCATTAATAAATAAAACATGAAAAACCAAGGCAATATAACTCCTTCAAAAGTTACTGCTCCTTAAGCAATGGCATCTAGTAAGAGGGAGTTAGATGAAATCCTAGATAGAGAACTCAAAATAATGATTATAAACATGTTCAGAGACACAAATAGCCAAATGAAATAAGGAAGGTGATAGATGATATGAAAGAAAAATTCACCAAAAAGAAAGAAATAGTGAAGAAAAAAATAACCTGAAATGCTGGATATAAATATCACAGTAAGTAAAATAAAATAGTAAATAAAGTAAGATAAAAAAAATAGTAAAAATGTCTCAGCAATAGAATGGTCCAAGAAGAGGAGAAAATGATGAACTTGAACACAAGGTGAAGGATTGCAAATAAATAAATAATTGATGCACTTAAAGTACTGGAAAATGGAGAACAGGCCAAAACCCAAGTAGCAGATGAGGGCAGAAATTCATGGCACGAAAAACAAAATAAACAATATATAGAATCAATAAAGTTAGGAGTCAGTTCTTTGAAAATATAAACAATATTGACAAGGTCTTAGCCAAACTAACCAAATAGAAAAGAGAAAAGACCCAAATTAATAAAATGAGTGATGAAAGGGGATCCATTACAGAAGTTACCAATGAAATTCAAAAATCATCAGGTCTTATCTTGAAATACATTCTAGTGAGTTGGAAAATATAAAAGCTGGTAAATTTCTAGATGCAATGAATACCCATATTAAACCAAGATGAGATAAAAATTTAAACATATCAATAACATGCAATTTCCAGCACACACCTGGCAGTTCACAACAGTCTAATTTCAAGATCTGACACCCTCACACAGACATATACACAGGTGAAACATCAATGTATATAAAATAAAATAATAAAAACGAGATTGACAAAACAAACAACAATAAGAAAAACAGAAAAGAACAAAGAAAACACCAAACAAAATATACCAGAAAAAAACATATGTTCTACAGCAAGGCAGGCTAAGCCAGGTTGTCTTAATCTGTGTCTGTTTATTTCAAAGTTGAATTAATAAAAATGCCAAATGCAAAATGAGGAAGACTATCAAATTGAGGAAGAACACCAAATAGCTGTTTTTCTCCAAATATTTCTTCTTTCTTTTCATCTTTTTTCCATTTTTAACCTGAAAATTTCAAGCTTCTCTGTGCTGGCTAGGGACCTGTGATTGGGTGAAATCACATTGTACTTTTGCAAGGAGCTCCCTCAATAGTCCTCATACTGTCATTTCCTTCCACTGTATCTAACACTTGTCCTGGACATTTACATGGTAGATATGTAACATACGGGGACTCAACATACTGGGAAGCCAGTCCTTATGTTTGTTCTCCCACTGATCCAACAAAATTCATTCCGTCCCAAGAATAAGTGTGTTTCTCTGGGTTTCCCCCTCAATTGCTTATGTATCATGAAGTTTGTGATAGACAAAGGCCAGAATAAAACACAGAATTAGAGATTGGAAGGAAAAGGCCAACTCCTAGCAAATTAACAAAGCTTCTAAAAACAGAAACAAACCAAATGCCTATAACTGAATGTTCGGAAAACAACTAAACGTAACAAACAAACAAACAACAACAACAAAAACCCAAATAGAATTTAACCAGAATAGTTTCCCAATTACCAGCTCAAAATAAACCAGTGGATCATCCACAGGTGTAAGGAAAGTCCAGCCTCCAGAAAGATGCCACCAATATCCGCCCAATGAGGCAATACTAGGTATTATTTTTTTCTTGGGTCTCTGAAGTAGTTGAAAACTAGATAGTTACAGTTTTCCTTGTTTACCATGCTCAGAAATTAAACTCACTAAAGAAAAGTAAAGTGTAAAAGATTGAGAGACGTTAAAAGGTAATTTGAAAATGCAAATTCAAATAGAAAGTAAATTAGGTACAAGAGTTTAGACTCATCATGATAGGATAAATAATGAAGTATTTTCTCTGAATTTGTTAAATGCATATGGACTAGACATTGTTGATGTAATTATTGGTTGCATATTTTGTATCTATTAATTGAATATAGTTTTTCTTTTGTTACTTGTATACTTTTTGTATTAGACAAAAAGGGGAATTGTGCTGATATATTATTTCTGATTTATTAAAGCCTTCCTGAAGATCAGAAAAGCAAAGCAGCAAGTAACTAGCTCTTAACTCTACCTCAGCTCAGACTGAAGGGGTGATCCTCAAACTGTTCCCAACTTCACTGCTCCTCGGATTCACTCAGACTGCTATATGCCTAGAGACTATCCTCAAGTGTAAAAGGTAGAGCATTCTTGGATTAAAGGTATGAGCTCTGATTCACTCTCTAGTAGCTAAGGTTGGTCTTGGACTCAAGAGTCCATCTTCCTTTCTTCTGAGTCTTGGAAATAAAGATGTGTGCCATAGCTGCCTAGTTTCTATAACTGCTGGGATTAAAGGTGTGTGTCACCACTACCTGATCACTATAGCTTGAGCTTTGCTTTATGAACCATCAGACAATTTTTAATAAAATATAAATAACATATTACCACAACAAGGCAATTGGGCATGAAGGACTCATGCTAGTAACTGACACAGATGCATATTACTCCTGCAGTGAGCTGGATCATCCTTGGGGCCCCTCATTGTGTGCCCAGTATTGAGGATACAAAAACACAGTTCCTGCCCAAAAGGGAATAAGAGGCATTTTATTTGAGATCCAAATGTGCATGATAACATTCAAGAAGACAGAGTCATTTTACCCCAAATATACCATGTCCGGTGTGGCAGTGGTTCCGTGAAGTATTTACAGTAACAGAGCAAAAGAAAGTAATAAATCATGCCACTCCTCAAATACATCCACAGAAATATTGGGTTGTTACAGCTAAATGCAGAAGTCTCTGTAACGGGGCCCAGGTGCTATCTGATGACACTCTAAGTCTAAGGATTGAGGGAAGCAGTTAGTTTTGTTAGCACATTCCCAAATTATTCCACTATCTAGTTACAAGGATGGCAGGCCACACACAGAGGTGAACAATGAGGAGACTAAAGATAGCCTAAGATAATTGTGCCCCAAACCTACCACATTGGAGGTCTCCACAATCACAGATATTCTAATCAGTCACTAATTTATTCAGCTTTGTAGACTTCTTAACACAGGTGTGACTTTTATTCTTGGAAATTCAGTTCACAAAACTAAGTTTATTATAACTTGACCACATCTATCATTTCACAAAGGGAAAACTGTATCCATAATACTTAACTGATTTTTGTTGCTTTCTTTCAAGGTAGAGAGAAGAATTTGTACGATTAATCTTACACCCAAATTGAGGACTGTTTAGCATGTACGCAAGACATTTTCTTCAGTAGTGAATCATTTGAGCATAACTGGGAAGCAATACAGTTAATCCACACCAAGAAGGCTTGGAGGTCATCAGAATCTAGCCTCGCAGATTCATGACCAGGCTTAATAGACAGGCACATTAGTTACTGTGCATTTCGAGATATACATATGACTGAAATTCTGTGTGGAAAAAGAGAGGGAGAGAGAGATCCTAAAATCGAAGTCATCTTTCTACTCAGAGAAACAATTGTTTAATGAAAGAATTTTTCAAACTCATCTTTTCACACATTTTTAGAATAGAATTCAACCTTCTTAGAAAACTCGAGGAATACAAAAGTCTGTACTTTATTTCATTGTGAATTATTTATAAAGTATGGACTGT